CGGAATTTCCCCCATTGTGGGACAAATAAAGGAATATCTTATCTTATCTTATCTTAGAATGGACACACCAAAAACCTGCTCTAGACATTCACGTCTTTCACCATAGTTTCTCCCTCTTGGTTGAAAAGGAAGTGTAGAACAAGTGAGTTGCAATCACCAACTATAGTGCTAGATGCCACTAAATCCCCAACCTCGAGGCTTATAACATCCTCAAATATGGTTTACACAGGACAAAGAGTAAAAAAAAAAGTGCATTTTGTGTGACACGTCCCCGTCGTCTTTCGTCACAATAAATACAAGTTTGCACTTTTGCTGAATAATCCGCCGTTAAAGACAAAAACCCGACATGACGAGAGAGTATATACTAGCACTTATCTGCAGTTCCATTTGGAGTACAGTACCACATTCGATTCCTCCAGCTGATTTCTACTTTGTACTAAAAAAAAAAAGCAACAAAAGCAACATCCTGGAAATCTGGGAAAAGTCCCTTAGACGTTACTTTGAGAAGCAAACTCGTGTACTGCCTTGTTCCTTCCTCCCTTTACCACAGGGTCATCTCTAATCTGGCAAAATCCAATCCAATTAAAGGTAAACGCGTAGCGCAGGAGGAAGAGGAGGTCTGCAGCTACACCCATGCTCAAACACAAGCTAACAGCTTCAAGAGCTTTTAACTCGTCTAATTTTTATAAAGTTCTCGAGGTTCTTGGAGGATTTTGGCCATTTGCCATAGAGCCTGAGAGATTTTGCGAACTTGCATCTTGTCGCTGTATTCTTCTCACGCTGAGGCAAAATGGGGAGTCAGTTTTGATTTATTGAGCAATGGCTTGTGGTTGTTTGAGGGTGTGATTTATCAGCGGGCAAAGGTTTAATGATTCCGTCTGTCTATGTGATGGTTGGCTATCTAATGCCTGGTGAGAGCTACATTACCAGCGTTGATTCTTAATATCTACAGTCCGTACAATGAATCATCATCGACAGGTTGAGGCGGCAGTAAACCACAGCGTGGCTTTATTGGACTGTTTTTCAAACTGTGACTAAAAATAAAGAGACATAAAAACAGTGGCTTCGTGTTCAGGTCAGTAAAGGTCAGACGCTTTAGTTGCGTGTACTTCAGGTGTAGCACAATCGTGTGTTTTTACAATTACAGGCACTGATTTGGAAGGGGAAAAAAGCATATTACCTGTGACAAATAGCCTTAAAACATTATGAAGAACTGCATGGAAACATACACTTCACCTTGCTTGCCTTTGACCTCAGCTATATTACTACTGTTTCCAGACGCAGAGAGTGTTCAGCATTCCTGAAAAGGACAACAGAAACGAGGACTGCTCCATTGTATTCGAGAGGATGAGGCTAAATTTAGTTACTTTATCATAGTGCCTTCTTTCATGTGCTTGATCAAATCACAGATCCACTTCACTGCGACCACTGTGTGATATTTGTGGACTAAACGCGGCTGTTACGGTCTGTTCAAGTGTGCACAAAAGCCCTCTATGAAGGCGTGAAAGACGCTTTCTACCTACCCATGCACCCACAAACAAACAGAGGATCAGAGCCATAAAAAGGGACCTTTTCAAAAGTGTCATGCAAAGCTGAAGGCTCGCTGTTTTAAAAAAAAAAAAAAATGTGTGTGCTCTGAGAGCGCTCTGAAAAAGTGCTTGCACCTCAAAACTATTACCAGCAGCTGAACATGGAAGGGAGTACGGCAGCGAGCTATTTTTGGGCAGAAAGTGTAACTAAAGCAATGACAAGCCAGCTGTGTTTCCACAGCTTCATGTAGGGAGGAGGCAGAGGAGGAGGCAGAGGAGGAGGCGGAGGCGGAGGAGGAGGAGGGATAAGAAAGCAGCAGTGATTAAATTTAACTGGCCTCATTCAAGCTAAAGTTTACACAAACTATCTCCTGGGCTTAGCCGTAAGCCCCGTGATGGGAAGCTGTGATGTTGTGTTTTGTTTAGTAATGCTGTACTCGCAGACCCAGAATGCAGTGCAGTTAAAGAGGGTTTTTTTACTTAAGTTAACCAGGACCAAAACCCACCAGTTCTTGGCTTGAACGCCTTTTTATTGAACTTGTATCGACTTGAAGATGATAAAACTACCCTGAAAGTCTCAGACATTTTTTATAGGGACCCCTGACCCCCCTCCTCAAGGAGCCAGTATGGTCCCTGCACCTCAATTTGGGTACCACAGAGCCCCTGATACATTTTGTCCTGTGTGCTTTTACTTGACTCTTGGCACTGGCGAGGCATAAAGTTAAGAGCTACTGATGTGAGAAGGACTTCCAGCTGGTTAACTAGCTGTATTATTGTTACACACTGCAAGTTAAACCATGTATCGTGTGTGCTCATTAGCATGTGACTTTATGGAAAAGTCCTAATTAGATAATTTGCCCAAAAGCAACTCAGTGTGAACTCATTTCAGTCCAACTCCAGTGACAGCGGAGTTTTCCTACAGCGAGGTGAAGCAACAGTTTGATTGGAGCTAACATTAGCAAGGCCATGCTAATTAGAGAAACAATAGTTTTGTTTACCTCTGCTGTCCGCAGTGAGGGCGGTTTCTTCAAAGCCAGTTTGAAAGAAGTTTCCATGGCTCCGGTCATTTTCATAACTTCGGCTCAATATCCACACCAGGAATTTGACTTCCTCTCCACGTAACCCCTCACTTTAGCGTCTCCTTGTTGCCCTGTAGCTGAGCAAACTCACATCCCAGTGGATCTTGTCCCCGCCGAGCCGAGCATGGATGGAGTTGACTCCAAAAACGGACCGTACCGGGGAGCTCCTTCTCCTCCGGGAGGGACGCGAAACTTTTAACTACTGCGCGTCCGAGAAGGAGTAGACCCCACTAAAAGTGTGACAGAAAGTTAAATACGGGAGACATGTCGTCTTCGGCTCTGTACATCTTTGGTAAAGGGAAATATCCACTTCGGTAGCTGGCGTCCGTCAGATCCAGGAGTTCAGATTAGATCCCTCCTCTTCCAGATCACAGTGCGGAGAGTTGACGACATCTGTCTGCCCGGAGATGCTGTGTTCAAACGCTGTCGGAAATAAGGCAGTTTATGGCATGAAACGAGAGGTTTAGCTCAATTACAGCTTTGATCGGCCACAAAAAAAAACAAATCGACCCGACCCGAGTCCGAAAAACATTCTGTGAGAGCCTGAACCGAGCCCGAATCACAGTGTCAATTCTGATTGAAATGAATTTATAGTTTAAATACATTGTGCATATTTTATAGTGCAAATTATTATCAAAACGAATAAATGACCAATTTGCTGATTAATTACGGTTGCATGCCCGACCTACGGTATATGTAGACTTATATGGCGATTATAGATTTTTTATACATCAGCCTGTAATTTAAGGTAACAAACAACGTAGACTTTGTGTAGGTGGCGTTTTTTTTTTCTGAGCAGCACTTGAGACTAATTTCCATTTTTGGTCTTCATTATTCATTACAAACTAAATTCTGCTGCTGCACTGGAATTTCCCCCAGCAAAGATGCAAAAGTGCATGGAAAATTAATTTTCTGTTACCTGGTACAATAAAAAAACACACTTGGATAACACGACATAACACTTTAACTTTTGCTGAAGAGTGGCCACAAGTGGAAATTACTGGATTGCTAAAAAGTACAGGAACAGCAGCACTAGAAGCCTAGAGAGTCATAAAGTTAGTGAACTTACTGTGTAATGTACAAAGCAATATCAAAAGTTAATATTAATATCAGCCGCCATAAGATACTGGTCATACCAGATCAAGTTAGCTGTATAACTAAATTGTGCATTTTTTTGCTTTCATGTTCAATTTATCATTTCTAAGACAAATATATGATATTTAAAAAATAAAAAAGAGTTATATAGTCCAGCTTTAATGGCATAAAAAGCTGCGTTTTGAAGCTCGAGTGTACGAGCTTTGGAAGGAGTCATTAAATGCAGCACAGATCCTCCCTCTGACTCCTGACACTTCTGCAGTCAGATTGCTCCCACGGACAACTGCTGCTCCAAATGCGGAGTAATCAGATTACTGCAGTGCATTCAAAAGCAACAGCTCACTCAACACACACACATTTGGTGGAAAATCTAACTTTTACACACTTTTCATTTCACAGTTAAAAAGCATAAGCTGTAAAAGCATAGTTTTATCTTATTCTTTATCTTTTTTGGGGTTTCTCCAAACGCCTCCTGATAAAGCTATTGTCGTGGAGAAAGTGGGATCACAGCGGTGTTCCCACTGACAGGAGACACATTCACGTTTGCTTTCAGCCGGGGACACTCCTTCCTTTTATTGCATAACTGCGGTGTGTGTGCTCGTTTCGTTTTACCTCCGGTGCCGCGATGACGGTGGGGTGGAGTCACAGCCTAGTTTCAGGGTGGTAAAATTTAAAAGTGGGCAAAAAAAAATGTGTGATCCAGATGTTGAGCACAAGACGTCAAACCATCACCAATCTAAACAAAAGTGCTATTCCTGTGTAGAGTTTGCGCTGGTTTATAGATACTTTCCAGACTTTTATAGCGATGGATGAAGTGGAAGAGATTCTGCAAATTAAAATGTGTACATTTTGGAGAGAAAGAACACAGAAAGTAAGACTTCTCATCTGGGATTACCCGTAAACTTAAAACCAGTTCACGGGCGACGAGAATACAATCTTGGGATTGTTTAGTCAGTGTTTGTGGGAAGAGAACAAACCACAGCTGCTAATCTGAGATGCTTGTAAAGTTGCTTTAATGCAATGTCTTCTAAACGGGGGGCAAACCATAATATGTGGTCTTATCTACTGTACAGCCTCTCTGGGTAATATCGCTGTGCGTACATGCTGTCAGTACACAACTACCAACACTTTTTCTCTCCTCATCAATTCCCCGATCCTGGCTGAATTGCAGCTCTCGGATGTCTGGTTTTCAGTTTTGGGAAAACGATTTCATATTCACACATCCAAATCTTAACTTTTCCAGGATTTTTTATTATTTCCCTTTGATTCAGAGACAGAAAACATTGCCAGAGACACATCAGTTCTTAACATCTGCATTTTTATTGCACAACATTCCCATAAAATTGGGAAAAAATAATTTGAGGAGACAATTCTGTACAAATACATGGAAATAAACTGAGTATGTACAGTTTACATGAACCGTTACACATACCATGGGCAACTAAATAATTTATTTATATACAAAGAGGGAAAAGCAGATATAAATTCATACCTTTTAAACATAATGGCTGGGTTGTACAAAATGTAAGCTGATACAGCGGAGCATCTTCAATACAGTAACAAGCATGTATATATCAATTTTACCAGCAAAACGAGCTCTCCAGAAGCCTGTGATGCATTCACGCTCTCCATTAAGACTTGGGTCATATACAGGGTGCGATTTGAGTCGATAGAAAAATACACTCTTCTCAGGGTTCCTTCTTTTTCTAGCAAGAATAATAATAATAATAATAATAATAATAATAATAATAATGTTCTCCGCGTACAGTTCAACATACTGTGATGTAAAGCCCATCAGCAAGCTCTGTTACAAACGCTGTTTGAGAAGCCTGAGACACATTCCAAACTTTAAGAAATTTGGAAAGATTACTTTCCAGAAACAACTCATGGGAGTTTTTAGCTGGCTGCCGGCTAAATTAAACTTTGTCCCCGCTACCTGCAATTCCCTTGCCATCAAGGTAAATGTGCTAGTCTAAAAGTATAGTGCAATTGTAGAATACTGCACATGTACATCTGAAACTCTCTTGCTTTTGACTTATTATAAATAATGCAGTCACTCATCTGGGAATTTCTTACTCACCCCATTTTATCTGCGACCAAAACAAAGAAAATACTGATTAATTTCCAAGGCTGTCAACTGATAACAAAAAGTAAAAATGAGAACAAAGAAATACTGTCCCATTGGCCCCACTGCAGGTTACACTTTATGCCCAGGAGAGAATCCACAAACAGAACCTGTGAAAGCAACTCAATCTCCCTTTTTACGCTCAGCAAATCGCACCCTGGTTATATCGTATTATCTGTCATTGTTAAAGGAAATCAAAAAGAAAACAAAAGAAAAAACTGTGCTACTATAGTTTTGTATTCTGTGTGTTATAAGTGTCGTATAAACATGTTGAAAATAGTGTTAGCTGATACATATTTGAATCCACTATAAGGCCTACTGTGTTACTCTACTCCTCTCTCTGCAGCAAACATCGAAACCGTAAACATCGTATAAAGGTGGGGGAAGCTATAAAAGTGTGAAAATATTTCAGCATTTTGGTTTTAAAATATATGTAGATGATGTACGTTTAAGCCTTCCCGCGGTAGAAAGGGACACTTTCTCCTCTCTCAATCACATTCTGAAGTAAAACTAGTTTTTTTTCTTCCGTGTAACGATCATCCTAAGGAATTTAACAGCCTTCCCTTTTTCAAAGAACACAGCATAGAGTCTGCACACAGTTGACACTGACATTCCTCTGATTAAGATAGCTTACAAAGTATACCTCAGGGTTTTCTATGGGGCCAACTGTAAATGTGTATGTCACATACTGCCCATATGAAGATCTGAGGTAGTGCTGTACCTATGATAAGAATGTCAAAGCCACTTTTAGCCATTTCAAAACCTGTCTGTAGAACCAAAAACCACAAAGAGTGTCGATTACCCCCGTGTGGCCAGAAAAGAGGCTTTTGAGTCCGGTGTGCATTGCAATTTGACGAAAAAAAATTAAAGTTGTCATTGAGATATTTCAGGGGAATTTGGCTTGTAAACAAATACATAAAGATAAACGCATAATAGTCATGAGATTGATAATCGTCTCAATGATATTTACCTTGAAGTAATGTTTAAAAATGTCCATCTGTTTTGTTTGAACTTGTAGTCCGTCACTTTGTACGACCGGGTTGAAGATTGTACAGGAAAAAAAGCTGTAGAAGAAACAAAATCCATTGTTGTTATACTGTAAATATCTTCAAAAGTTTCATTCTTGACTGGAAAAATGTCTTTGGCTTTTGTGTCCAAAAATAAAAAGAGTCCTGTTTTAAAAGAAACATTCAAACAACAGGAGAAGGTCATTTCAGGGATGCTTCAGGTCATCCGCACAGCCTCACTCCATCTGTGGGACTGTGGTCTCTAGTTCCCCCCTGTGGTGCAACATCAGCATTGCAACAAATTCAGCAGCAGTGGTAAATGAGGACAGGCGCTGGATGTGGTCCGTGAAGACGTGCACTGCTCAGGCTCAGAGCGAAGATCCCACCAAGCCCAGGCACGTGGGTCGGGAAACCATGTTGGGGAGGTCAGCTGCGGGGCATGGACGGCCGTTTTTTGGGGCCAGAGTGGCACCACCCAGGTCTGACAGGTTTCCTCAGACAGACCACTTGCCAGGAACCTCAGTGCCATTACAGTCTCATAGCAGGATCTGGGCCACATAGGGGGAGTGAGTGCTGGCCACTGCGGCCAACAGAGGAAGGTCGCTGGACTCAATTCTGCAAAGATACCACAGCAGAGATCAGAATATGATACGATTTAAACTTAGCTTCTATTTGTCTATAGACTGTATCTATAATGCCTCCACTTCTTTTTCATTAAAATGTGCCCTGTGGTGTTTTCTTGTCATCAAACAAAAGTTATGCTTACATTAAATGTTACTCAACAAAACACACTGTTTCCTTCCTCATAAACTATTTGCAAAGTTGATGTTTAATGTGAAGCCTGCATTACTGCCACTTGTTGATCAGTGGAACACCACACAACATACAGCTTTACAGTAGCTGTGATTTGATAATAAAAGTTAACTGCTTACCCTAAGACCATGCCCAGTTCTTTCACATGAACCCTTGTCTGGCCCTTCAAATACTCAGCAAGCATCTTGCTCTTAAAGTAGATTTCCTGCAGGCGGTCTTCAAGGTGCATTATGCACTAAGGAGGAGAGGACAGACAGAAACATGATTGGTAAAGCACAAGAATCACAGTGGTGATTACTGTATACAACCATTATCAGTGAAAACAGCATTTTCATTTTAACTACAGAGATCTATGAAACCTATTCCAATTGAACAACTTAACAGTGGATAGACGGAGAGGTGTAACATACAAAGTTGGGTGAGACGTTGAGTTTGTAGAGCTGGTGAGTCGACTGCAATAAGCTGGAAACCAGGCTGGACACCAGGACTTCCTTCCCCAGCTTGTTAACATCTGTGGCTCGTCTCTGGCTGCTGGCCACCTGCACCGTCCACTTGTCTGTGTCTGCTATAATGCAGACGGCCTCCGCTATGGGCTCATCCAATACTGGATGCTACGGAGGACAAGAACAGTCATTTAAAGAGGGAATTCCTCACATGTTAAAGCATGCTTCAAACTCCTAAACAAAGGCTAAATGACAGAAGCTAATAAGGATCTTAAAATTTGGGTTGGGCAATAATTAAGTTATCGCTCATCTACTTCCAGTGGTATTGTCTCATAATGATATGACCATAGTCTTTTATCTGTTCTACAAAAATCTGTTCTTTAAATACATTATTTTGAGAAAATAGCCATTGAAAACCAAATCCAATAGACTGGGTTAATAAGGGTTTTTATTTAACATGTGATGGAAGTGTATATAAAAACATTACACTAAACCAAAACTAAATAGAACACAATCTGATTTCAGCCGATAATCTCTAATCACTGCGGATGAGAAGTTAAAACGCTCTGCTTCACTTGCAACGGGAAAGTGTGAACTTAAATAACAAACACAAAATCTATGTGGCTCTAAAAAGGGAATATAATCACAAGCGATACTTAAAATTCTGTATTTTGCATTGGAAATAAAAAAGCTATATAGCTGTGTGTAGCTCCATAAAGAATTGGCTCATCAATGTCAGTCCTTTACCTGAACAGCATGGGTTAATTCAGCCATGAGGCTCTGCCGTAGCTTCTCTTCGCTGGGCAACCCATGCAGTACAAAGTCTGGCACGTAGGTGGGGCAGTAGCCTCCAAACAGAGACCGGCCAAAATTGGCGATGCTTGGCTTTGAGTAGTTCTCCACCAACTTTGACCTTTAAATCAAACACATGACATGAGATATTAGTTTTTTTTTGTTATTCTATTATTAAAACTATAATTATTGATTACAACTAAAGCACTTCAGCACTAGTGCAGCTCAGTGTAAGTGAATAGGAAGCGTGTCTGTGAATAAATGGGTATTCCACTCACCCAGGGAAGGGCAACAGCACTTCCTCCTGCCAGTCCTCTGTCTCCTCACTCTCACTGTCCCCTAGCGCGCTGTCTGAGCTCTCGTTGCGTGGTATCTCCCAGTCATTGACGGGCACCGCTTTACGCTTTTGGTCCTCTTTGCTATTGCTGCTTCCATCCTGGGGGACGGGGACTGACAACAGAAGACCCTTGTCCTGCTCAGCAGAACAGCTCCTGCAGCAGCAGGTGTCGGAGGAATCTGAAGACCCACACCTGCACCTCTTCTGGACTTCCAACAAAGTGTCTCCCTTTCTGCTGGACCCTACCTCTCCACTATCTGAACCTAAACAGACACCCAAACTCTGACCCCTGACTTCACCCTGAAAACTGAGACCCCCAACGCCACCAGGCCGAGGGACCCCCGAAGGATCCAGCAAGTCTTTGTGCATACTGCCCTTCTTTCGTTTGGCCACATCGTCTATAGTCCTAGTCTCCACAGGGTTCTCCAGGCTGAAATACTCATCAAAATAGTCCACACAGTTTGGGCTCCACTGGGGAATATTACTGGAAACCCTCTGCAGGGATGGAGCCGCCTTGGTCTGCTTGGTTTGGTCCTCTGATGCGCTGGTGTTGCTGGTCTTTGAATCTGCTCCACTATGCAGCCGTTGCAGCAGCTGTTGGTGAAGCGGATGTTTGTCCTTCTTGTGCTTTTTGAAATCCTCCTCTACCTTCCTTCTGCGACTCTCTGTGTCCGATTCTGGAGACATGGAGTCTCCAATGAGGAAAGTGACTTTTGTTGCCGGCTCCTCCTCTTCTGTTAGAGTCAGAGCCATGGGCCCAGTCACTATGTTTCCCGGTACCATCGGTACTGGCACTGCAGCAGCTATGTTCTTATCTGGGGGCTTCTTCTCTAGAGGGGTCCCCAAAGGTCGAGGAGCCAGCACTCTGGTGGGCTGGTTCCCCGTACCTTCATCCATCCCAGCCTCTGCCCCAGAGTTCTTACCCTCTGTGGTGACAGGAGTTGGGGATGGACTTGATGCGAGCGTTGTGGGTGTGAATGGGACAATACGTTTCAGGTCACCCTTGGTCTCTGTATCCAGCACACAGACCTGCTCCCTGGGGGAGGCAGAGCTGACACGCAGCACCGTCTCCAGTCGGGCCTCTGTAGCCAGTGGGCTGCTAGACTCCCTGCGCAGCTCCCTGGGTTCAACTGTTTCTGCAGTCCTGATAACAGGGTTGTTACCCTGACTGTGTCCCGTCTGAAGCACACTGCTCCTGGACCCTTGACTCTCACTGCTGTCCTCCTCGTCCTCCTCGTCCTCCTCATCTTCCTCCTTGGGTGTGGGTCCAGCGCCGTGCTCCACCTCTGTGTCTGTGTATGTGCTGCTCTGGAGGCTGTTGTCTGACCTGTAGCTGCTGTCCTCTGCCTCAGTCTGCTGGCCGTGGGCCCCTTGGGACAAGTAGTCCCCACTGGGTTTATGGACGGTAACCAGAACATAGTCAGACTCCTCCACCTCTCCTTTCCTTAATGAGGTGGTGATGAGGGAGCCAGGCATCACAATGGCCTCATCCTCAGCGCTGTCCAGCATGTGGGTCTCCAGCAGCTCGGAGCAGCGGATGAAGTAGGTGAGGACATAGAGGAGTCTCTGGACCAGCTCCTGTCTGCGGCCCACCACCACTGTCCTTGACAGCCGCACCGGTGACCCAATTGACCCGTAAAGGTCGCCTACACACAGTGTTGAAGAAAAGAAAAAAAAAACAACCCCAAAACATTAGCATCACTGAACATTTGTAAGATCTGGAAATAAAACTGTTTATATTCATATTTTTGTGATTTGCCAAGTTTAATATTTTTCTTATTGCAGTTGGGTGAGAATTAATAGATATAAACATGTGATTACTTAAACAATTTTTTTTTTTTAAACTAAAACAAGTATAAACATTTTTGGCATTTTGCTTTATCTGGATAACGACAGAGAGTGACGGGAAAGGTGCAGATAAAAGAGGTGATGACAAGCAGCACATCTGTAACGTTTTCTGATAATACCATTGTCTTGTTAATCTCTGATTTATCTCAATTTCTTCCATATTTTTTCAAACAACAAATCAATGCTTTGGTATGCAGTTCTCAGCTATGAACACTGGGTGTCCCCATGAACTCATTTTCTATGTCCTCCATGTCACTTGAGGTGAAAGTGTACAACTGAACATGCTCGTTAAGATCTGTCTGTGTATTTATAGGATATTGTTACTTGTAAGCGCCCATAAATCAGCTACTCACACAGGAAACTGTTTTCACAGAATTGCACCTTCCGCTGACGCAACATGGTCCACTGGAAGAAGTAATGTTTCCATTTCTCATCAACCAAGGATATACATAGACATGGACAGTTTAAAAGTATAGACAAGTGTCCAATTGATGTCAAATGTTCACACTGTTATTGCTGCTGCAGTATTACTACACCATAATTTGAGGACTGCATTTTTATCACACCTGCAATCTCTACATCCATGTGAAATGCTGCTACAGAGATTATTTAAACCTAACTATCTAGTCTTAACTTGTTTCCTGTAATGATTAACAATGGCATGTTAGGATGTGTTCAAGCTTCAGCCGAGATGAAGACCAAACACAGGTAATTTATTTGACTCCCCAGGCACACAGGTGCTTCCACAGGAAACAAAGTTGCTCACTGTGTGTGTGTGTGCGCATGTTTGAACTCCTCACCTAGCTGTGCCCAGAGCGGGTTGTAGGGGTGCGTCTTTGCCAGCATGTCGACGCTCTTGGAGGAGTGTTTCTCGAGGAAGATCTTGATTGGAGGCTGCCCATTAGGCATGACGGTGGGTACCCAGGCTAGATGATTGGTCAGGATGGCTGTCAGTAATGCAGGGAGGAATCTGGAATATTAGACGTGGGTTGGTCAGCAGAGAGTTGCGGGGGAAATCAAACGTGTATTTCCTAGCTGGCTGCACTCCGACAGATATCACTTTGTTTCTATCCTGACCTTGTTCGGTTAGGTCAAAGGTTCTCTCACTACACAGAAAACTTCATGTTTTCTTTCGGAACTGGACACCACATTCACACATTAACCATTGTTTGCAACACACACAGATGTATGCAGACACACACACTATTAGCATGATTCACTTCTCAATTCTGACCACAAGTGTCTACTTCCCTTCCTGTCTTATGACTCAACACTGTCATGGTACTCAAGTTCAATCACGTGCTAAAACACGGACATGACTGCGGCAGTAATTGTAACCACCAGTCATGGGAATACTGACGGGATGCCTCAGAAAAGACATGATGTGATACAGTTCAATGGTTGCCATGGAGACACAATGCTTCAGCTGCGAGTCAACAGCACATAGAAGTAGTTGTGTGGTAGTCATCCTAACCAGTGCTGGTGGAAATAATGACTTTAACTGAGAAGCAATGCTAATAAAGAAACTCCAATGGTTGCCTAGGCGACGCAGTTTCTATTCACGGTCAACATTTAGAGAGCATGCAGGGATTTGAAGAAAAGAAAAAAAAACTGAACTGCTGTGTATATAAATACAGACATAAAAGTTCAAGACAACCCTTTAGGCTCTGGTAACTTAATGGGCATAAACTTAATGACTAATATGGTTAATAAATAAAATAATTGTCAAAGTAATGTGGTAATGAAAAATTGTTACTTGCAGTCCTAGTATACAGAGCATGAAAGCTTCCAACATGCAGAATATACAGGGATCAAGATAGAAAAACACATATCTTATGAAAATGTTAAGTATGTCCCTTAAGATCCACTTGATGTAATAATCCACTTTAGTGTACTGAATGCTACTTAAAATCAACTGTACTGAATACGGGTGCTATGTTCAATAAAAGCCTTGCTACCAATTCATAAATGTACAATTAGCAGTGGTTTAACGTGGCTTTGTAACAGCAACAATAAGCAATTTGAGACTGGCAGGGATCTTCTCATTCACAGCTCCCAGTGAGGCAGACAAATAAATGCAAAGAAAGTGAAACATTCACAGTGTGTGCGTGTGTGTGTGTGTGTGTGTGTGTGTGTGTGTGTGTGTTGTGTGTGTGTGTGTGTGTGTTGTGTGTGTGTGTGTGTGTGTGTTTAAGTATAAGAAAGGGAGGGACAAACTATAGAAAGTGTATGAGGGAGAAAGAATAAGTAGTGTGTGAACCTGCCTGTGTTTCTCTGTTGATAGGCTCATTCAGGATGTACAAGCAAAATAAAAAAAAAGATGTTGGAAAAACTATGTGTTTTGTTTTTCTTAATGTCTGAGTGCTGCCATGTATGCCTTTCCTTATTTATAACTGTGAGCTTGCTTGATTCCTGTCCAATATGTAGGTTTGCTGTGGCCATACAACTCCTGAAAACCACTATGCAATATGACAGATGTGTATATTCTGATGTAGTTCCCTTGTTCTTAACGTCCTGCAACATTTTAGAAATTCAGTGACTGTTGGTGGACTAGGTGTGAGTACAAGCAGACACTCAACTGGTTCTTGGAGGCCTGCTCCATCAGCAGGGAGAGCTCCCTCATGAAGTGACCGCAGAGCTGGTTCTTCTCCGACGCTCCGGACATCATAGTCAACCAGACGGGCTCAGCCACGCGGGGCATGGTGTAGAGGTCGCAGATGGTCATCCTGGAGATGAGGTACGGCGAGGGAGGGAGGGATGAAAGAGGGACAGGGCATGGAGAGAGCGAATGAAAGGGAAGGAGGGAAAAAGAGAGAAAACAGACAGAGAGAGAACAGAAACGTTATTGTCTCTCGGGGTAAACAAAAGAGATCTCAGTTCACAGAGCTTTGCTGTCTGCGCTAAGGCCATGGGAGACCCTGGTTTGTGTGCGTGTTTGTAACAGTCCGACGAACTTGCGCGCACTCACACACAACCCTCTCTCTTGCTCTGTACAGTGTGCGTGTGTGTGCTTGTGT